AATGACCACTTTATACTTAGTGTTGCTTTCTGTGGGCTTCGAAAATTCAGCCTCAGCCTCCCCGTTGCTTTCAGGGAGTTTTAACGGATTAAGTTCCGAGGTAAATTTTGGGAAGACGGATTAGATTTGCAGATAAGACACTACCTAGATATTTCACACTCATTTTGCAAGAACTTTATGATATGAGTTCTGATTTCCTATAGGCGCAAGCCCCTATAGTTAATTACCCCTCCCAATAATGAGAGAGAACTTTCGATTAAGTCTAGTTGTTAATCAGATATGTAGAGAATACGTGTTATCTGACATATGTAGCAGTATGGGCATTTGATATTTGGAGATTTGATATTTAAAACAGAAATTTCACCATCTTGCACTTAAAGTGAATGATGGGGGAATGGATGATAGACCAGACCAAGATCCCATGGTTCCGTCATCCCGGGCCATCGTGGTCCCTGGTCTACTTAGCAGAGGACGTAGTCGACCACTTGACCCATTACGACAGAAGGATCCTTGTCGGCAGCCATGGGTTGTGTCGTCCAAGGGTACCTTGCAGACCTGAGGTGGATGTTTCTCTAAAGGGACAAATTTGAATCTACCTTAGCCAATAGAGGGTTTTGTGCCCTAATGATTATATCCTATTGATTCATATCTCGAGGATTTCGTGTCATTAGGGGCCATACAGGCTCTGGCCATAATTATAATTTAGTTGTGCAATTTGGCGGGCAAACCACCCGATTCAGAGGGCCCCGGGAATAACCGTTTTTCTGTGGTGCCATTTGGTTTCAAAACTGCCAGTTATAAGACGCATACCATGCCCTTGCTAGCAAGAGACTGTTTCAGAATGCATTTTAGTGATATTCTTGACCAAACATTAACTCTTTGTGAGCTGAAGTGTATTTTCATATTTGTCCACCTCGGCAAACTATTGCGGAGGGTGGGTGGATAAATTTTTTTTGCTTTAAATGTTTTAATGATGTTATTTCAATTTTAAATATTTTAATTTTGAGATTTCTGGAATTTTGAATGGGTATTTGGGTGTAAATTTGGAATTAACTCCTCTGGTTGAAATTTGCATTAAATACGGCCATCACTGGGGTGTATGAGGGTCTTTTTGTTTCGTTGATTCAACCTTGTCGACTCTGTCTATTTTGCCGACAGAGGATCGGGTTCTTCATTGGGTGTATATTTTTGTTGATGAATTTATTTTATTATAGAACTTGAAGGCCTAATATGAACATATAAAATAAATATCCCAGTCAATATGACAATGGTATATTTGGCGACTGTATATTTGTTTTATGGTTAAGCTGTGTCAACTCCTATCTACGCGCATAGGAGGCTCGGGCTCAAATTTGAGTTTATTTTCTGACCCGTGTAACATCCTCAGACGTTACTGTATATTTGTTTTCTATCCTAAAATGATTGTTGCTGCTCTTGATGTAATTGGAATAGCGGGTTTATTGAACTGTTGTTGGATACTTGTTGACTGTGGAGGTGTCATAATGTCTTTGCTACAACAACTAGTTGGTACTTTGAATAAGTTGTAGATATTTTGCCTTTATCCGTATAGGGATCAGTGTGTTTACTTCGGGCTGGGTGATAGTTGATTACAGGGATGCTGGAATATCCTTGTTTGTTACAACGCTCTTTCTATAACTACTTGCAAATGGCGGCATAGGTCTATGTTTGCATTTACTGTTATCACTTGCAAAGATTCAATACATTCATATGTAGCTGAGTATCACCAAATTGATGCATTAATCTACCCGTCGATTGCCGTTGGTGACAATCGAGTTCCCTTGCCCTTCATGGTGGCTTCTTTCATTTCCTTGTAGGCGTGATATGCTTTTCATACACATATTGGTTGCATATTCCTTATTGTCACCTCCAAATAATTTTCTGCCTGCAATATAACTTTGTGATCAAGCTACATCTTCCACTATCTTCTTGTTATTTGCAAACAAATTCTACTTGTAAACTTTTTGTTCTCAAAGATGGTTTGCAAGATACATGATGAGTTTGATATCACATTTGTCAATGCCTTCATCCCAATTGGGATAATCAATACAAGTTGGATGCCATTGTCCAAAAAGGAATTCTATATTAAATTTATTGTTCATTTGCACACAGACCTTTAGTCAAGCAACTTCCTTTGGTTTCATCATTTTTACAACTCATGAATTTCATGTTTAAATGTTAGGCTTTTGGTTCAAGCTCTTGCCAAATCCAATTCAGGTCCAAATTTCCTATTATTTTATTCAATCTTGAGTTCAATTTAATGTCGCTTGGGTTAGGCTCAAAATCCAAATTCCTTGAGTTCAATTCCAGTCCACAGTGCAAGTTTAAGTTCTTGCTCAAAGTCTATTGCATTTTGTTCAAATTTAAGTTCAGTCCACTACGATTTAGCTTGAGTTCAAATCGATCAAATCATGGTTCACTTGAGTCAAATGAAGTTCAAGTTCAAGCTCATTTCAATTTCATTTTACTTAGGTTCAAGTCTTTATTAATCATTTGAGTTCTGAAACATGTTCCCTGTCATCCAAAATCAAGACCCCCTGTGTTTGTTCATTTAAGCTCAAATCATGTACTCAGTTCAGTCCAAATTTCGGCAGCCTCCTGACGTCTTTTTTGTTTAGGGAAAATTTTAGGAGACATAGCCTTCCCTTCCACGCTACGTGAGCGCTTCAGGTAGGTGTTAGATGACACATCGACTGCAATTTCTTCAACCCCCGCTACGCTACATGTGCGCTTAAGGGTCTTCGAGCACCTGTTTTAAATACCACAATTTTCTTTCCCCCGCTATACTACACGAGCACTTAAGGGTGCTTGATTTTTATCCTCTTTACGCTACGTGAGCGCTCCGTGGGTTACTCGCCTCGTTGCAAGCGTCGCACCGGTTTCCCTCCCATCTTACTACGTGAGCGCGTAGGGAGGTTTGCTGGCTCGATGCAAGCATTGAGTGCAAGATTTTTGCGTTTGAAATTATACCTTTGAGATGAGATGATGGAAGGAGTCGGGTGAGGCTTCGACTAGGTCGTGAGAATGGCGAGGAAGAGGGAAGAAGGGAGGTCGGGCAAGGTAGCAGTTGAGAGGGATTTTGACTAGGGGTGTCGGATGGCTATGGGGGATCGGAAGAAGCGACGGGAGTTTGGATGTCGTATGCAGTAGAGGTGAATGGAGAAGCTTTGGTAGAGAGCACGAGATCTTGCGAGCTGTGGGAAAAGCGAACAAACGAGAGCATCGCCCTCGTTTAAAGATGCGAAGGGTAGCAATCGAGGCAAGCGTGGGACGATTGCAACGGCGCCGATTCGCAGGGTATGGATATTGTAGAAACAACGTGATTTGAATGTAACAAGATTTCAGCATGGGGCACGGTAGCACGGTAGATGCGGCTTCGACAGAGATACGGTATGGCTCCAGCACATGTAATCATTTTAAAAATTTTTTTATTTCGATTTTGCTCTCTCTCTCTCTCTTTTTAATTGTTGAGGTCAACACTATCCATTCACCCTTTGCTTTAAAGTTGCTAAGGCATTAAATTCACTACCTACACTTACAAATGGGCCTGTGACATATGTCATACAAATATCTTATGTTAGCAAGGACTTGATAAAGCACTTCAACTTTAGTGATCATTTCTAAAATGTGATATTGAACAACTATAACAATTTGAAATGCAAATTCTAAATATTCTCCAAGGGCCATGTTTATAGGGAGTCCTACATGCATTTAATAGGCCACAAAATATTTTCTTAGCCAAGATCGGCTGCGAATTTGGCTTATTTAGTAAGTTTTTAAGCTTTATTCTAAGAGATCATATTGGACGTGATAATCTATAATTGCTAACAATAATCCTCAGACTGAGGGAAGAAATAATGTTCGTCTGGGAAAACTGCATGACGCTCTATTGAAATTTTGTCAAAAATTCAGCTTGGCCTGCACTCTTTGCACTTGGTAAATTTCTCCTACGTGAACTCAGCCTAGTTTGGTGGACCTGGACTGATGCGTCCTTAGAGGTGTTTCTTGGCACTAAGAGTAATTTTTTCTGTAGCTTTGTCGGATTGACCCCCTCTCTGTCTTGAGGCGAGGCGGGCCTCAACCAAGTTGAGGCGCAAGCCTCATCAAAAAAACTCATGGTGTAAGCATCTAGACGTTTTTTACTGGAATTGCGCAAAGGCGAGCCTCAGATTGTACAATTTTAAACCATGCAAATAGTTAGATACTGTCTCAGCATTGTCTTGCTTTTCTTTGCCGAAATAAGTTGGTTTTCTTTGCGGATAGATCTACCCCATTCAGCTGTTGGCTGTTGTCTGTTTCTGTAACTCTAAAGCACTATTGTCACTACTTTCGGATCATTCTTTTTTTTTTTGATGATTTTGTGCAGACATCTTCCAATTGCCTGGGAGATAAATTGGCATTTAGGTTTATTCCTATTATTATTATTTTTTGTTTTGCTTCTAAATCTTTCATTTAAAAAAATGTACATCTCTTACTTGTATGTTTAAACATTCCTGGACCAAGGCTTCATTTTGGATGGCTTTTTTATTATTTTGTAAAGCTGCTGCAGAGAAAGTAATTGTTTAATTTTTCATTTGGGACGGCTTTTTTCATGCTTCATGAAGCAGTTTTTTAATAAAAAAAATTAATTATTTTTTAAATTAAAAAATTGCTTTAAGAAACAGGAAGAAAGTCATTCCAAACGAAATAGAAAATTATTGTAGAAAGCAACTTTTTAATACAGATTTTTTTTAACAGCAACAAAAAGAGAAATTTTAAATAAAAATTATGATTACGATCTGAAAAATAAAGCAGAAAGAAAGCTATCCAAGTGCTATGCCCCCTTTTCTGGTTTTCCATTGAAAAAGAATGCATTATCAGTAGGTTTTATCATGCCCAAAATTTGGCTGATATGGTAATTTTGTTTTTGCTATTTTTTTATTGTATTCTTTATTTTCATCTTCTTTGATCTATATTATATTAGTATCTGATTTCCTAAATAGGTACGGCCTGAGCTACATTCCTTTTGCCCGTTCAATGGTTTCAAAGATCTTTTATGCTTGCATGGACACTGAGTTTTGAGCTTCACTCGTCTCTTATGGTGTACAAATTGGTTCAATTTATGGAGCTTTTAAGCAGGCTATTTTGTTCTGTTATAGAAACTGTGCTTGAAAGAAAAAAAAAATGATGCCATTATTTCATGTTTGCTTCCTTTTCTGTAAGTAGAGAGATGATTCCTTATTAATTAAATGAGATTTGATTTGAGCGTACAAAATTTAAGAATTTATTTCTTTTTTAATAGCATAATTTATTTCCCATGCGCACATGAGTATTTTTATTATATCAAACTATTAGTTTAAGTAAATTACTCTTCAAATGCATTGATAGCAGGTGTGGAATCAGACTCTTTTTTGAAGACGAGTAAAATATATTAAAATTTTAAGATTTTAAATATGAAGCTGTTGAAAATGTTAAAAAAAAACTCATTTTTTATAATAAGTAAATTTTTATTATTTTTTATAATTTCACACTTTTTATCATTTTATTTTTATTTATAATAAATAGTCCATTCAAATTTGTAAAATAAAGCTCCGGCTCAAATTTGAATTTGATTAATTAATCATACTCAAGTTAGGAGTTACTTTAGCTCGATTATATTGGTTTATGCTCTTAACTTTGAATGATATTAATGCATAAATAAGTTATTTGTTTTTAATGTTTTCAATAATATAAATTATCCTTATCGGGTTTAGTTGGATTGGTGGGCGAGCATGATTAGGAACCTCTTTAACTCATGTTCGAATTTCCTCTTATATGGCGAGGTCCTTTAAATGGGGAGAAAATAACTACGGGTTTTGTACCTGTGGGGATGGTTGCTGATAGGCTCGTCAAGAAAAAAGTTATGCCGCCAAGCATCGGGTTGCAGCTGATAGATACTCCCATTATATATATATATATTAGATGATAATAGGAGTAAAGAGATGAAAGATATTAAGAGGATAAATTATCATCAGATATGCTTAGCAAATGTTTTTTTCTTATCAATATGACAACATATCTTGATATGGTTTGCTTCCTCATAAGTTCAAATATTTTTTTTTAATTGTTGTTTAGGGGGATTGTTTGGTTGAATTTATGAGAATATAGATTATGATAGATTTTAAATGCGATTAAAGGGTCGTTGACAGTGAGTGAAAATTGACAATAGGTTGTGGAGGTTGACATGTATTCTAAGGTTTTATTTAGGATTTTTTACTATTTTTAAAGAAGTTTTTTAGTACAAAATTATTTTGAATGAATAATTTTTTTAGTAGAAAATTGCTTTAGATAGCAATAAGAAAGCTTCCCCAAACTAAGTATAAGATTTCGATTGGGATAGCTTTCTTTCTGCTTCTTAAAGCAACTTTTTAGTTCAAATTTTTTAGTATTTGTATTAAAAAGTTGCTTTAAAAATCAATAAAAAAGTTATTCCAAATAAAATTTAAATGGACGTATAATCAAATTTGTGAAGTAAAACACAAGAAAAATATAAGTTTTATAATATTTTAAATTTCTCATAATTATATTTTATAATTCAATTATTTCATTTCAAATATAAAAAAAATCGAAAAACAACAGAGATTAGACCCTATTAATATGACCAAAACACTATTATTATACTAGATGGTTTGATTTCTTCAGTCTTTTCTTCTCAAAGTCAACTGCAAACTATGTAAATGCATGTAAAGCACGCAATTGAAAGTCCCAAGTCTTAAACAACTTGTGTACTTTCTTTGCTGTTCGAAAGGAAAAATTATTAGGTGCGGAGTGCGTATCGTCCGCACAAGTACTTGATACCTAGCGGTACCCACTCGGTACCGCTGGATACCCAATGTTTGTGCGGACGGTTCTCCCTGTCCTCACTCCACACCTAATAATCTCTCGTTTGAAAGCAGGGAGATGTAGTTGGTGGCAACAGTTCGTTTTTGTACATATTAGTGATAATATTTTCTCTTAAATGATAAAACAACTGTTATAAGAATTAAGAAGCATACTCTAATGGTGTCTAAGTAGCCTATCAAAACTTATCTTACAAACACTTTGCCAAGTGGAATAACCCCTCCTTGAAGCAGCAAATCTTGGCCATCTCCATAACCCCATTTTGCATCCAAAAATAATAAAAAAATAAATTCAAATACTCGGACTTCATTTGCGACGGCTTTCTAAATGCTTATTAAAGCAAATTTTTAATGAAAAAACTAATTTTTGTTCTAAAAAGTTGCTTTAAGAGACACTAAGAAAGCCATCTCAAACAAACCTTAGTGAATTAATTTTGATAAATTTATAATCAAGATAATATTATATGATAATACTAAACAACGACGGGTGATGGTGCACATGGGTTGAAACACGAGAGCGCGAGATGGAGCCATGGATCTGAACGCACAGTTTGTTGGCGGGATTGAGCTCGGTCCGATGGGTTTGCTCGTTGAGTTAGTGCAGGGTGCCGGTCGAATTGCAACAAGCGTGAGTTCTTATAAACTGGTGGTTCTTTGATCATAAAATCGGACCAAGGTGGAGATTTGTGTATTGGTCCGATTTTAAATTAGTTGTTCCTAGCATCCATTTATCCTCCTATTGTTATAAATAGAGAGGTGTAGAGTGTTGTAAGAAGTGTGCCTCTCTTGCAATAGCCCATTAATAAAAGAATTTATAATGCCTACAGTTCCTCTCTCCCTCTCCTCCCTTTCCTCTTTCTCTTGCAAGAAAGGTAGAAGAAGCTTCTTCTTCATCCAATTTCATAACAATAGCCTACCGAATAGCCTACCGATTGGGCAACGAGATTGATCCTAGGTTGCCCTACCTATGCAACATGCACATTCTTTTGACCATTTTATATTTCTCACGTGATTCACATGTCTGTGTATTGTGCATCACCTGCTCCCGCGCGAAACATCTGCGATCCAGCACTGAGCATCCTCCGGTTCCGCGATCCAGCACTGAACATCCTTCGGTTCACCAGTTTTCTATGGACACCCGTGCGTGCTTCAACCCGCGACTTCGCACGAGCCACCCATCTTATCCCGAGGCTGGTGCTCGCTTCTTGCGCACACATGCATGATCTGCTTCGAGTTTCTTGAACCTGCTACCACGACTCCAATCCTCGTGAACACACACAACTGACGAACCACCCATCCAGGTCTAATTTCAAGGCTCCACCTCAAAAGATCTAAACCATTTTAACCATGAACAATTAAATCTCATATTCCTACCGGTCTCGTGCAAGATCTTGAAGCTCGATTCGTGCCTGCACGACACCAATTCTTCTGAGCCAAATCTTGCTAAAAATCATGCATATGCAGCCATTGCTCCCGCGTGCAATCACACATCAAACTAGAGCATGTTGTGCCCTACTCCCACGTTGAATTGCGCTTGATCGCCATCGTAGCATGCCTGATGTACAATCCTTCATGCTTGGACATTTGCTCTCACGTGTGCCTAAGCCATAGCCTCCGCTACGGACCTTCGTGCCCACACGACTCCGCCTGCGTGAGTGTCTCCACCGCTCACAATCTCATTGTGCTTGCCATGTGAACTCATTGCCTTCCCATGCATAGCAGACCTTCCTCCTTGTGCACAATATCAACCCACCTCGCCGTGGAAGTTTGCTTGATCCCCTGCGACCCAACAACGTTCAGCCGACCCGTCCGCGCCATCTCCCGCACGCACTTGAGTCGTGCGTAGTACTCCCTTTCTTGCTTTCTTTGAGAAGAACCTTCCTCCTCGTCGATTGCCTCAACGAGACTCTGATACCACTTGTTATGATATTCTTGGGAAGAAGAAGTTTTTGAACTTCTTGGAAGAAAGAGAGAGGGACAAGGAAGGGAGAGGAAGAGCAACTCACAAGAATTATATTCCTTTATTAATGGGCTATTACATAAAAGGCACACTTCTTACAGCACTCCACACCACTACTTATAACACTAGAAAGATGCAATGGATGCTAGGAATAACTAATCTAACACTGGACCAACAATACACAACAGCTACAATCATCTCTTAATTCTTATCCTCGAGAGCAGTCAATGTCTGTCTTCAACTTGCAAGAAGGTGATCCCAATAATATACAAACTCAATGATCAAAACTACTTGAAGTTTTTACGAACTCCATAGGCCATGAAATTGCATGCCATTTGTGGCATTGGGTCATCCTTACGAAGACCATTTGATCTCGAGATAATAAAGTTTTGTAGCCGTTGTCCAATCCCCCCTACTTTATATAAAAAGCTTCCTACAATTATTGCCACTCTGATAGGCCTTCGATTTTTGAATAGCACAGGACGTCCAACCGCTCATTATTGACTTGAAAAAATTATGCCAACAACATCATTTGTAGGTCTTTCACTTTTCCAAAATTATTAGAGATAAATAAATAAATAAATAATTGAGCTTACTGTTTGATAATGATTATGTGATTATAGTTATTACATCTGATACATCATCATCAAACGAGCATGAATCTCGAGGTAAAATCAAGTTGGAAACTTTCAAGACTAAAATTGGAACCATCCGAACTCCAATTTCATCAAACTTATAGTCAAACTAAACGTCTCGGAAATACAAACTCAACAGCACCAAATTTGACTCAATCCGAGCCCAAATGGGTCCAGATCAAGGACCTGAAGCGTTGTTGGAAGGTTCAAACCAAAATTTGGATTACCAGATGGTTCTCAAACATGAAATGCTTATAATCGAATCGAGGGGCTCGACGGGCCGAATCCAACGAGCCCAAGATCACGGAATTCCGACATTATTAAGACCTTCAAATGTCTAATGAACGGTGCACGATCAAGGGATTTAACATCAACCGTTCATCCAAACCACTCCCTATTTACCTTTGTTCTTCCTTCTATTTACGATTCATGTCACTCTAAGAAATCTATAAATAGACCCCTCCTTCCACTTGAAAAGGGACCCTAAGCCTAAGGAGAAAAGAGAGATATCAGAGATCACTCTTTCCTCCTTGCCTCCTTGACCACTGCCTGGACTTCTGCCGAACCACCACGTGAGGCCCGGAGTTCTGCAGAACCACCACGTGAGGCTCGGAGTTTTGCCGGACCACCAAGCGAGGCCCGAACTTCTGCCGGACCACATACTGAGGCCTAAACTTCTGCCAGACCACCACGTGAGGCCCGGAGTTTTATCGGAAAACCACCTGAGGCCTGAACTTCTTCCAAACTACCACCTGACACTTGGAGTTTTGCCGGACCACCACCTGAGACCCGGAGTTTTGCCGGACCACCACTTGAGGCCTTGACTTTTTCCAGACCACCACATGTGCTCAGAGTTTTGTTGGACCATCACCTGAGGCTCGTAGTTCTGCTAGACCACCATTTAAGGCCCGAAGTTTTACCGGACCACCACGTGAGGCTCGGGCTTTTATCGGACCACTACTTGAGGCCCGAACTTCTGCCAGACCCCCACCTGATATTCGGAGTTCTGCTGGACCACCACCTGAGGTCCAGAGTTCTACCGGACCATCACCTGAGGCCCAAACTTTTGCTAGACCACCACCTGAGGTCTGAAGTTTTGCTGGACCACCACTTGAGGCCCGGAGTTCTACTGGACCACCACTTGAGGCCCAAAGTTTTGCTAGATCACCACCTGACGCCCAGAGTTATGCTAAACCACCGCCATGCTACCAACTGAAGCCCAAATTTTCAAGGAACGTCGGACTTCTGTCAGTCCACCAAGTGACGCTGGACTTTTATCCCCGTTTGTCACTAGATTTCAACCATAAGGTTAGCATTTGTAACCTGATCTCCCTTAGGGACGAGTCGGCCCACTGTAGTAGAATCATTCAATTGGGCAAGGGCCTGTGGGTTTTCCTCTTTTCAGGGTTTTCCAGGTAAAAAATCTTGTGTTTTCTGTGTGTGAGCTGGATATTCGTGCAAACGCTAAGACGTAGGATTTTAACTCCATCGCCACAAATATTTTAGCCCGCAACAATATAAAATAAAACAAGAACTCTTAACAATCTAAATTACTTAGGTTTTATTTGAGATAACTTTTCTATTGCTTTATAAAATAGCTTTTTAATAAAAAAAAATTAAGTTTTAAAAATTTTTGTTCAAAAAAATTGCTTTAAGTAGTAAAAAAGCCATCCCAAACGAAACCTTGATTTATAATTTATTTATTTTATCTTGAAATAACTAATTATCAAAATAAAATAAGTGAAGTATATGTAAATGCATTTTAATTTAATTTAATTTATATTTATGTATAATTAAGATGTGCCAAAGGCCATATGAGTAGTCAAATCTCTACTTTATTAGGAATGGAAATCTAAAGAAGTCCAAGCCAACTAATAATAACTTTAACTCCAATGGTAATTCATTAATAACTATTTCAAAGTTGAATTATTATTTGAGTTAATTCGATTATACTCAAAATAATTTGATTAAAAAAAAATCATAAATAACCTCACATTATTTAAATATTTGTTCAAATTTTTATTCTGATTTATCTCTATATATAACTCCAAATAGAATAAATCCAACTCATAACAAGAATTGTTTGATTGCTACTTTTATAAAATCATTTATAATTAAAATATGAAATAATAAAAAAAGAATAAAAAAATCTAAAACAATATTCTATAGACTATATATGTATATATAATAAATTAATTGGGGCTTGATAAAGTTTGAGCAAGCTACATTAGGCTCAAAAGCTTATCATTTTTTTTTCGATTAAGAAAATCTAATCATGATTTATTTAAAATAATCCAAATCAATTAAATTTTTGAATATATTTGGACTAAGAGTTTGTTTGAGATAACTTTCTCATTACTTCATCTTTTAAATACTAATAGTTTAATTAGTGCTTTCTTGTTATTTTTAGCTATTTCTTTTAATTTTTTTTTGGCGGAGAGCGGTTTTCTTACAACTTCGTTTGGGACAGCTTTAGACCATTATTTTTTGTTCTTTCATGAAAGTTTTCTTCTAGAAAGCCGTTGTAAAAAGCAATTAGAAAGCTATTATAAAAAAAACTGTAAGAAAACTATCCCAAATAAAATTTAAATTTGTCAATACATAGTAGCAGTTGAAAAGCAGCTTTTTGATATTATTAAAAGAGCATAAATTTATAATATTTACCTCACGTAAATTTTTTTTCTCATAACAACTTCACAGCCATTCCAAACAGAAAATTAATCTAAAATTGCACATAAAACCACAATTTTCATGATTGTGATGACAACCAAAGATTAATTGCATCAACAAGAAGCCAAAGTATATACTCATGAAGATGAACAAAGCAATAAAAAAGACGTCCCAAACGAAGCCTAAATTTTTCAATACATAGTCGTAGTAAAAAAGCAACTTTTTCGTATTATTAAAAGAGCATATATTTATAATATTTACCTCAGATAATTTTTTTTTTCACAACAACTTCACAGTCATTCCAAACAGAAAATTAATCTAAAATTGCACATAAAACCACAATTTTCATGATTGTGATGACAACCAAAGATTAATTACATCAACAAGAAGCCAAAGTATATATTCATGAAGATGAACAAAGTAATTATTATTATTATTTTTGGGATATTTGGGCCAATTAAAGCATTCAGTCATATCAGCGGTAGTATTGTGCCACGGTACCGGGCAGTACCGAGTGTAGGGGTGATGTGGCGCATTCTGGTTGATCTCTGGACGGCGTTAACTGTCCGCACATAATAGTTAATCGAATCCAATACCTCTTAATTGGTAGCTAAATCTATCAACCAACAGACCATATTGAACCAGCTTCATATAATTTTATGTTAATAAGCAAATAAATCAGCATATAAAAATTTATACACATCACATCATCATTTATTTAGAAAACCAATCTTATTTGCTTCATTGGTGGTTGGCAGCAGCTTGGCTGTGATAAAAGCTAACTATATATAGTCCTCCAGTGGCAGAAAGTGCAGTACTGAATGCTTGCCTTACAGGCAAGTTCATCCACATGCCTGTTTATAAGAAGAACAAAAGACTTATATCTCTATAAGGACAGAAATCAAATACATCTAGCTATAAACTCCTTAATTAATTTAGTAGACAGTGGATAGTGAAGTAGTTAAAGAGCTCTCCCTTCAAAATTTTCTTTTATTATTGTATAAATGTTTATGTTATAAATATTTTGTTCTTCTCTCACATTGATAGTTATCTTCTATCATTGATAATTTTGTCAAAAAATTTTTTTCTTGGATAGATTTTGCTTTGATTTGTCTCTCTTCTCCTATATATGTTTTTTCCCCCTTATATGAAAAGAAATTTATATTGAAAATTATTGAATTTTTTTTAGATTAGTGCAATATAAATTTTTCTTGTAGAAAACTAATCTCAAAGCAAATCTAATGATTTTCGAGCGTATCTTGATGAAAAGTGTATCAAGATTGATTTGTCTAGCATAATATTAGAAAGATTGAGCATTTTTCGTAGAATCAATAATTTAATCTTTTTATAATCTTTTATTTTGCCTACTTAATAAAACAATTTAGCTCATTAATTTTATTTTTTGTTTAAGTGCTTATCATTTCTTAAAAATAATGATAATTATTGGTGGAAAATTATGGCTCAGTTATTATTTTGCTCTACAATATTGTAAACAAAATTTCTCCAACTATAGGTATTTAACATAGTCATCTTTTTATTTCTTAATTTTTTCCCCTAATTTTAATGTTTTATTTAAACAATTAAATTATGGCTCAACTTTTAATGTTTTTTATCTAAGGGTATGTTTAAAAACCTCCTTTTATTATCAGTGTTGTTAATATATGATAGCTTTACGAAAATAATTGTTCTATTTTTTTTTGAAATTAAGAAATAATTATAATAATTAAATTTTTTTTCTCATAATAACTTCACCATCAACTTTAAAAAATGATTCTTCTAGCATAAATAAACTCTCAGTAACATAAATTAAAAGTTTAATTACTAAGGTTTTGTTAAAAAAAAAAAAATTACTAAGGCTTTGTTTGAGATAACTTTTAACAATGATTTTTTCACCGCTTTCAATACATTTTTATATTAAAAAACTGTTTTAAAAAATTGTAAAAAAATTATCCCAAACAAAATCTTAGTTAAAAATTATGAAAAATATCATCAGAAATTTCACCTCTTCAAATATCATCAAAACCACCCTCAGATTCAGGCATGCAGTTGAGTAATTAAGAGTTAGTTTATGATTGATCTGATCAAACAACTTGTAATCAAGCAGCTTTGATTATGGATAATTAACGACAATAACCCAACCCAGTAATAAATTATGACTTTTCTTATAAATGATAGATAATAATTGAAGTGAAGCTTGCAGGTACAAAGCTCTTTTCTTTCAAAGCTACCAATCAAAAGGTCTGGGTTCAAATTTTAGGTATGTGATGTGTGTGATTGTTTTACTTGGAATTCATTTGAGACGACATTCTTACTGCTTCTTACAATAAATTTTTCGTATAAAAATTAAATTTTTATACTAAAAAATTGCTTTGAGAAGCAGTAAGAAGCTGTCCCAAAAGAAATCTTAATTGGCCTAAATGTAAAAAAAAAATCTATAAATTTATCACTGCAAGGCATTAATTAAAACATGGTTGAATATATTAAAATAGAATAATGAGATACTAAGAGAGAGAATCAATAATTCTTGATTATGCAAAGGTAATTAAGCAGAAACCAGTCACACAAAAGAAGACAATCTTACTGTCATTTCCTTAACTGTTCCCTTACAGAGAATAATAAATTACTAGATAAAACTAGAACCAGAAAGCACTGGAAATTATACTTCTAAACACTAGAGTATATCAAGCAATAAGCTTTAATGACCATTAATAAGCACCATCACTTGAGCATAAATAAGTAGTAAGTAGCAAAGTAAATCAGTTCAAGGGCTCTACAGCTAGCTAAAGCCTATCTCTGAACCACCTGACACTGGACATATTTAAAAATAAAAAGAAAAAAAGTGAGGAGGGGAGAGAGAGATAAGATCATAAGCGCATGCCTGAGCTCCTACCAAAGCAAAGACCCTAAATCTAGACAACTATGTCAATTTATAACAATGGAGATGCAAAATTTCGCAAGAGAAAGATTTTGGAACTGAAAGAGAAGATAAAAGTTTTGTCATCTAAGCATCTAAGCCACCTGATATTGAACCATCAATTAGGAAAAATTAAAATCTTAGATCTTCAGTAGTAAATGTAGTAGTACTTCACTCCAGCTGAAGGTTGCTGGTCTTCTTAGCCAAGTTATGCTTGTTGTTATGCATCCAAACTTTGAGAACTCTTCTCTTGACTCCAATCTCATTGCACAACTCCTGCACCACACTCTCCTCTTGCTTCTGTAGCTTCCACCCAACTTTCTCAGCGAAACACAGCATCTTGTCCTTCTGTTCTGTAGTAAATTTTGTTCTGAACCTTTTCTTGATCACCATGGGAGGAGGAAACCTTCCTTCCATTTCATCAGATTCTGAGGTCTGCATTGAACTAAAAGGTATGATCATTTGGTTATGAGGAGAATGCTTTGATAGGATGAGGTTATTTCCTGTTGGGTTGTACCCAAATGCGTTCCTATGGCTAATGAACTTCCTGCCTTCTTTGAAGTTGAAACACTGTGCACAAGAGGGTGACTGATCTCCATCAATCTCTTTCCTGTGGAAGTTCCTGTGACAATTGCAAGCTGAGCACTTGAGAGCTTCGAGTGTGCCTTCTTCTCCACTTGGCATGAACTCTCCACAGCCATCGGTGGCGTTTCCACCAATGGAGGCTGCATGATTCTTGAGGCATTCTCTGTACTTGACAGACATGGTCTTTTTGCTGTTAAATGGAGATGAGGAGGAGAGTGGAGTAGGAGTTTGAAGAGGGAGAGATGGGACATTGGAAGGATGATGGTGGTGGAATGGAAGGGAGTTGTGGCTTTGGCTCTGTATATGGCTTCCACTCCCACCAACATAGTTGCTGCTTATTGGGATTGGGATCTCTCCTTCATGCACAGAAAGATCCATTCTCTTCTTCCCTCCCCCTCAATCCTTGTGCTCCTTTTGTGTTTTCTTTCGGATTTTTTTTAATATAATATGAAAACTGTTCTTTAATGAGCTGGAGAGACCAAAAGCAAGGGGAGAGGACTAATAAAATGATAAGAAAGTAGAAAGGAGGGGAGATATCTTGGGATTCCAAATAAAAAAAATAAAATAAATCAAACTTGTTTATTTGTCTTCCATTTTTTGTTTTAGCTGAAGAAGGAAAAGCTGTTGCTCTGAGAAGTAAGAAGCTTTCGAGTAGCTTGAGAAATCAGAGAAGGATTTTTCGCATCGTATGGAGGAAATTTTGGAAGCTTAACGAAGACCCTGAGTCTGGAAGCAGAGACATTTCATACTATCACTCCTCGCTTTGGAGAGGAGCTAGAAGAGGAACTTAAAAGACAAACTATGCTGCAGAAATGGAATGAAGGATCTTACAAAGAGATGATAGAAGAAAACACCAAATGGGTGTTTCTTCTAAGGCTTACAGATGATGACCCACACGAGCTTCTATGCGAAAGCTGCCATAAATTCCTCAATCTTGCATTGTTTAGCTTGTAGCGAAACTTACTGTGAGGAGCAGGGAAGAAGACAGCCAAACAAGAAGGGAGAGAATGAGTTTACAGTAGAAACGAAGAAGCTTTGGCTCAAGCACTGTGGGGTTGAAGAGCTTAAGCTGATGCTTATAGCAGTGAGAGGGTATAAAGGTGCGATTTTGGGGTAGCGTTGGAACTGATTTTTTTTAATAATAATAATAATAATAATAAAAGAGAAGGGAGCGTTTTAGGAAGAAGGCTGTGAATCTGTAGTACAAATAAAGCGTGTGGAGTTAACTTTGCTTGCAGTTTCGCCAAAAAAAATTTTTAAAAAAAAAATTTAAAAATAAAACTTTGCTTGCAGTAGCAGGCATCAATCTTACGCCAGATGAAGAAAGTGAGAACTGAGGGTGTCAGAGAAGAGGTTCGCACACAGCACACTGAGAAAGAGAGAGAGAGATTGAGGGAGCAATGGAGATCGACCCCACAATAGAGTTTTATTTTAAATTGAACAGTGAAGAAATAATGAAAAATAACCAATAAAAATGGGATAAATTATTCTGTGCGGACGTCGAACATAGTTTATCGTCTGCAGATTAACCAGAATGTGTCACATCAACAGCACTGAACCGGGTATTGAGCAGAGGTGACATGACTCATTCTGACTGGTCTATGGACGCCTTTCAACGTCCACACAGAATAATTTCTTTAAGAATGGACTCCTAAGAAAGAAAATTCACAACATATTTTTGGTTCAAAGTATTTGTTTGGGACAGCTTTTAGTGAGTATAGTTTTGTTATTATTAATAAATTTCTATTTTAAAAAATTACTATAGAAAATAAAAAAAAGTTGTCACAAATAAAGCTCATATCTAAATTTAAATTTTCTATTTTTATTCCAGCTAAATTTGAATCTGGTAAAAATAATTATTTTTGAATACAATATTCTGCCCTTAAAATAAATTTTCTTAATTTTATAAAATATTATTTGTACTTACTAAGTTTTTATCCATCTGAATTACCGATCTCTAACACAGAGAAATTTGTTCAAATAAAAAATTATTTGGACTTTTACTTTCAAATGGACCAATCAATTATGGGAGGATGACATTCATTTTTGCTTGGAAAAGAAATTTTAATGTCTGCCTAATCAAGTACTTATTTGACGTTTATTTTTTATGTAGATTTTTTGCAAAGTATGTAGTTTCTCTATGTTACTATATATTGAGTTGATTTTAGTTGAATCATGCTAATTTCAAGTTGGTCATCTTGAAGTTGGAGTTCATCAATTTCGATTTCAATTTCAAGTCTACTAAAATTTTAGATATTATTGAGTGCTTTCTTTTTTACTTCTATATAAGATTATGAGTTTTAGGCTTCGTTTGGGACGGCTTTCTTACTGCTTCGTAAAACAACTTAATTTCTAAAAAGTTGCTTTGCAAAGCCTAAGAAAGTAGTCCCAAGCAAAAGCTTAATCTTAGCGTGATTGATTGAAACTCGTTCTCTCAAGAGTCAAGAAAGAAAAATATACCCAAGAGATTACATAATACATATGAATCACTCTGACAAAACAATGCAAAGTCACATATATAAAATAAGAGATTATAGATTTATAGTAATTTGATCGAAAGACAATGCAATCGCTTTTGGGCTAGTTGAGGACAAATAAGCATTATTTGAGGGGGGTGAATACATTTATTAAGCTACTAGATAGTACATAGCTTTCTAAGACGAAAATAGAGAAAAAAGAGGAGAAAAAGAAATACAACATGAAGAGATTATACTGAAAAAGAAATTTAAGTGGAGAGAATTACAATAAATGATCAAAGGAGATGAAGAGAGCCTATAGCCTTTAAAGGACTTCTACCATTATCTCCAAACTCATGTGTTTGTCATAAATTCTTACATATATTAATTTGCATAAACCACAAAATTAGCTTATGATGGGGGCATTCATAGAGGATTGATTGTTTTGAAGTTACCACTTATCAAGATGGCTAATTTATGTTACCAAAAAAGCTAAGGTTGATATTTCCTAGGATATATTTTAATGATGACATGGTGGGTAAACATACAATAGAGTGTGGTACCACATTTAAAAATAAAATAATGGTAGCGTTGATATTCTATAACTTGTCTTTGAAATTTGAAACTTCATGATATATACTTTTAGGATTCGTTTGGGATGACTTTTTTTACTGTTTCTTAAATCAACTTTTTAGTACAAAGCTGTTTTAAGAAGCAGTAAGAAAGCCGTCTCAAACGAAGCCTTAATGTAGCACAATGTTGATAAAGAGTTATGATTTTCTTAAATTATTTTATATTCTAGTTGTATGATATGTGTTGATTGTCAACAATACTATTTAAAGGATCATGTGTGAGGTGCTTGAGGTTTGCCAAAGAAAATGCATAACCATGGAGGGATGGATAGCCAAGAGACACTTTTGAGAGGATTTCCAAGAAGCATATTTAAGATAGTGGCAATCAAATCTGCCATAATATCGATAGCCACTCATAAGATGTAGGCAGCATCAAAGGTTCAAAAAAATTTTGAGGATTACATTTTGAATTTTCTTATCAAATCAAAATGAGGCCTTACGAGCAGATTATAAATAGTCTGATGTAGTCATGAAAGAGCAATCTAAGGCTTCGTTTGGGACGGCTTTCTTACTGTTTCTTAAAGTAGTTTTTCAGTAAAAAATTTTTTTTTTTTGATCTAAAAAATTGCTTTTATAAGAAGCAGGAAGAAAGTCGTCCCAAACGAAGCCTAAATGACCATTTCATTTTGATGATGGAAGATATCTTTTAGTAATTTGGTTTATTTGCAAATAATTCATGATTTGATTGCATAAATTCTGAAAAGCACACAAGGCTCTGAAATGACCAATTATACTGTCCATTGTATGGTTGCTCTTCTTTCTTTGTGGACAATGGGAAGAATATATCCTTAAGCATTGCATTTGCATCTTTGTTTGAATATCCCTCATTGCATTTGCATATTTCTCTCTCTCTCTCTCTCTCTCTCTCTCTCTCTCTCTGTATATATATATATATATATATATGTGTGTGTTATCAAAATATAATAATAAACAAAATCTTAAATAAATTTTAAATTTATATATGATAATTTTAAATTTATTATATTATATTATTGTAATCTTAAATAAATTTTAAAAATTTAAAACCCATCAGAATATTTTATGATTTTATGATTTGATGATGATATTAATCTTAATATTCATTATTAAAATAAGATTATTATAATTTGCTCGCACTTCTTTTAATGTGACTTTTCCAAGCTGGATTAGAGGGTATCTTTGATCATTAGATCCAAGAATATGTCCCCAATAAAAGAGAAGAACTACAGCACTTTCGAGGAGAATGTTGTGATTGATCAGTCTTCTATATTTACATGGCCCTAACATTTTCTTTTGATAAATATGATTCTTTTACCTTTTGTTTTTTTTTTTTGATCTTTTAAATGCCCAGCACTTTATTCTTCCTCATTATCTTCTTCTTTATTCCACTAAGACAAATTCGAAGAGCCTTTTCTTCCCTGCTTGGAGTTTTTTGCCCGCCTTTGTTTTGTTTCAATCACTTTATCCTGTAATTATCTTTATCTCACACTGATCTTGAAGCTTGAATGATTCCATTTGTCTTGAAGAAATTGAAGGATTAACGTATCAAAAGTGATGAAGCTGAGAAGATAATTGTGGCTCTTCTCTTAGTATATATTGATCAACATGTTTAGCATGGTGAAGAGAGCTACTTACTTCATGATGTTACCTTGAGGATATGAAGGTGGGGGGAAGGATAGAAAGCCTTCTTGAAATGAGTTTCCTTAGCACATGAGCTTGATTTGGATATGTTCACTAGCGAGATTATTTAGAAGTGTGGTCAACATCGGGTTAACTCGACTCAAAATTGATAGTTCGCCACTTTTTATGAAATTTATTGGGGTTGAGGTGAATGTTTGGGTGATTTTACGCTTGTCTTAGGTATTATACGTGCAGGTCAGATAGATAACCTTCTTGTCATTTGCATAAAATTAATAATTAGAGTTAAAATCATTAAATCAAATAAATAACATATTTTACTCGTAAGAATTTTTAGGTTGAATTAGCTCAAAATATTTGCTAAGGTGCAAGGAGTCTTTGGCGAATTTCTAGTGCCCAAGTATAATGAATTAAAGACATGAAGACAATCAAATTATGAAATATGGGGACAAATTTGTTATTTATTTGAGTATTTAAGAGAGAAAAAGATTGTTCACGATGAAAAGAGAAAAATAATCAGGAATAAGAAAAAAAGTTCATTCACAAGGAGGAAGGGAAAAATAAAAATCGGAACAAGAAAGTTACTGCATCATAAATCACACAATCTCTTACAAAAAGTATTTAAGTGGTCCCTATAGATAGATGAACCATATGCCCTTTCATTTTCGCATTCATGGATCAATATTAATGCCCATCATCTATATGTTAAAATGCTAAGTTGCTTTCTAAATTCATGTACAAAAACTTCTAGAAATATACATCTAGAGATACTAGCATACTTTATGAATAAACTAAAATTCAATGACTTTTTTCATTTATAATTTTAACACCTACCACCTACACAAAAGGCTAGAAGTTACTTCAATTTGATGAATTGCTCCAAATGGAGAGGTTGGAGAAAATGCTAGCAAATTGATTGCTAAATCTCATCTATTCCATTTGAGCATCCTTCCATTTCATTTGATTTCTAATAAAATGAGAACAAATGTCAATGTAGAACTCTTTATATCATAATGATATGATCTCTACCCCAATCACTATTCAAGTAGACTAAAAGGTATAACTCAATAGAAAAAAGAAGGATATAATAAGTCATGACCTAGTATTTTAGATGTAGATAATGATCCTCTTCACCATCTTGAAATGTGTCTTATTTGTCTCGTTCATATCACTATCCATCTTCTAAAAATAAGGCCATGATACCATTTTATAAGAAATTTGAGTATTTTGAGAGAAATTTTTTACTCATCAAGAGTAATAGAGAAATACACATTGAAAATAGAAAACTACTTCATTCAAAACTTTGAATGCTCCTACAAAAGGGGTTCAAGATACCCCTTTTTATGAATACCCTTCAATTTCACAATTAGACATCAATATTATTTCCCTAATCTAATACATGTAAAAACACCAAGAAGCACTTCCTAAATTCGTGTACTAAGACTCCTGGATAACATTTATCAAGAAATGCTAAAATAAATTTTATAGATAAATCAAGTCAATTGTCATTCGATCTATGGGTTATGAATGGGCATTTGACC